GCCGAGACAGGGAGCGAAGGACGCGGGCGGGACCTGGGCCCCGCGGAACTCCGACCCGCGCTGCCGCGTCAGGCACTCGCTCGGCGCCGCAGCCGCGCACATAACGGTTAGTTGGGTAACGGCGGGCGGCGTTCGGAGGTGCCCTGGCAGCCCTGCGGTGAGGGGTTCGGAGGGACCCCCAAGGGAGGGGAGACCTCGTCCGCGAGGGGAGGGCGGCGGCGGGACAGAGCGTCGTGGCCGCGGCCAGCCGCATGGCCCGGAGCGCAGTGTTGGTGAAGGGGACCTTGAGGCGCTGGGGACAGCGCCTCTCCCAGCCGAGCCGAGCCGGGCCGGGTGGCCAGGTGCCGGCTACTGGCCTGGCGAGGAGTTGGGTCGTGGTACCAGGTGACCTTGGGGAGATCGCTACCCTTATGGTCTTCAATGGGCTCCTGGAGGGATGCTTTGATCCGGAAAAGGGACTACGTGAGGCTGATTCACGTGGTGCCTCCAGACTCTCCCGGCCGCCTTCTGCTGCCAGGCAGGGACTCGGGGCGGGAGTTATTTTGGACTCGTGGCAGCCCGCCTCCATTTCTCTGCCCGCCGGTCCTTGTCCTACCTGGTGACTTGCGAGAACCGTGTGAGGAGCTGCATTCCCCGCGACCGCGGCGTGACTGCGGGGTTCAAGGGGACCTGGCGGAGGGGTCGGGCAGCCGGTAGGCTCTAGGCTCCCGGGACTGGTGCTGACTGGGCTCTTTGTCATTCAACCTTGGCGGCCCCCCGCCACTGCGCCCTGGGTCCTGGGCTGGGGCGGCCCTGTTGAGAGCCCTCTGAAGGGTTACCTTACACTGGGGCAGGCACGCTTTTTTGTTTCAAGCATGTCCTTTTTTTTTTCCGCGTACATTTTAACATTTCATTTCTTTGTCATGACGTACTTGATGCGACAAGATGTGGCCAAAACTAGTTTGTAATTCATCTAAACCAGGAAACAAACGTGTTACTACTTTGTTCTCCCAGGATTTCCAGGGGCTGGTTATAAACTGGGTATTTGCTGATAACAGTAAAATGTTTACAGACTACCTTATTTACCATAACCAGAAATTTTTCTGGTTTCCTAATGAAATATGTACACGTCAGTTCCCTGATAAAACAAGCGTGGGTTAGTAACTACTGGAATTTCGTGATAGGGTGAACTCTGAGTTGTGTGAGCATTTGGAAGAGTGTGAGTTGGAATTCAGCCATTAATAAACAGTTTTTTATCTCAGCTACTAGCGCAGAGAGGGGAAGCAGAGACTATTTGTCTTTAGTTTTTTTAGTTAGGTGCACAATCAGTTCGAGTCTTATTCCCTGGGTCATAACTTTGACTTCAGATTGTCCTAGAAATGATTAAGAATTTAAGACCTCTAACCCTCAAAATAGGTAGCGGGTAAGATTTTTGTTTAAACACAAAGCTCAATATACTTCAGTAACTCATTCTGGGTTTGGATAAATGCTGTTTCATCAGATTGCAGTGACCCTTGTTAAATATGCAAGTTAATGGTCTGAGGAGCACTTTATGAGATTTTTATAGCTGAATAGGTTTAAAAGGTTTTGTAAGCTTAACATAATAGGCTATAACATCCCTAAACAGATTAACAAGGGAAAAAAGATCATACCCCATAGGATGAAACCAACTGATCAGTGTTTCAATAGTTTATGTATTTTTTGGCCTTTTAAGTATTTATATATATAATATTAACTCCAGAGAGCTAGTCAAGTTCCCTTACTTTACAGATAAGGAAACTGAGACTAGAGAGGTTAAGCGACCTAATGTCTTAGATCTGAAAACTTATTAATGATTGGGTGGGAACTGTGTATGTGTACTTTGACCCCCTTGTCAGATTGTTACTCCTGAGTTTTCTCTAACTTAAAGATGGATTCAGATTATCTCAGATTGAACGTAGATTTTAAAGTAATTTTTCTCAGGTTCTTAAGGCCTTCATTCCCATCATGTTTTTAGTTCACTTCATACTGTGCATTTCTATGCAAGATTCAGATCCCTGTGTAAATGCCTACATGGCTGTTTTTGTTACAGATTAGAACTAGGAAGATGGATTTTCGGAATGAGGAAAACAGTCCAAAGGATTGTGAATTTTATATGAAAGTTTGTTATTGGTTTCTATGTACTTTGAGAGAGACTTCAGGTTCAGCTTAATTCCAGTACTTGCCCTCTTGGAGTTTATAGTCTTGCTGGAAAACAGATAAATATATTATTACCACTCAAGTACTATTACTTTTTGAATACGAAAGAATGAGGTCTCAGGGCGGGCATGGGTAAGAGACAATTTTGTTTGTTTTGTTTTTTAATGCCAGAGGGTACATGTGCACGTATGAAAGATGGGTTACGGAGAAAAGAAAAGTTTTTTTTTGCAGGACCTGGTCATGCTACAATACTTTTTCATCTTAATTTTCCATACTATCAGAATCTCGGGCACATTCGCACAGCCTGTTTTCAAGCTGCCAGGGCTGAGACACAAACCTTGGTGACATGTGAGATCCTTGTGCAGCACTTAAGTGCTGAGCTGTGGAGCTAGTCTTAGAGATATTTTGACAGGGTCTTGTAACGTTAGAATCTTCTAGGACCACTGGCATGGGCCCCAAACCTGTCCTGTTGTGGTTGGGCTAGAACCAAACTCGGGCTTCCTATGATGCCTCAGTGACTTGTGCCACCACCAATGGACATCACAGCAAAAACTTTATACAAACAAGTATTGAGTGTTATAAATAGAGGAAGTACACATTCCTATGGGAACAAATACTGCATTGTATAGGTGTGCGAAGACACCAACTTAGTATAGCAGCAATCTGGGTTGGCCTCTCTGAAGTGCTGTTAAGCCTGAGGCTTAAAGTATGAATAGGAGATAGCTAGGAGAGAAGTGATGATGAGTGGAACAAGCATTACAGACTAAAGTTAGTCAGAATGCAGGGTGTAGAGCAAGAACTGAAAGAATTTCACCAAAGCTAAAGTATAAAGAGGAATGAGCCAGCAGATGGCATGGTACGTAAGGCGCTGGACTCACACATGGCCGACCATGGTTTGAATCCTGGACTCAAACTTGAAAATTGTGCTATGTGTATGTGTGTCCAAAATCCTTAGAGGAGAAAGAAGGGATTGTGGCATGGCCATCCCCTCTGGGGAGTGATTTCTCACTTTCCCTCTCTGTCTCTGTCTCTCTCCAATGAACTCATGTGTCCTATGTCAAAAACCTTAAAAAAAAAAAAAAAGTATAAAGAGTTGTCAGAGAGTGGGGAAAAAATGGAAGTCGAAGAGGGATAGTATCAGATGATAGAGGGCCTTATAAGTCATTTTAAGGAATCAGGGAAGGGGGCTAGGCAAAAATTAAAAGAAAAAAAAAAAGACTTGTCTCAAAACTGACTTCAGTTGATATCAGATTTTCCTAAGCTTTTATTATTTTTGTTTTATGCCAGAGGGCATATGTGAGAGAGAGAGAAAACAATAAAGCAACCCCCAATGAGATCTGGTCACACTGTAACACTTTTTTCTTAATTCTCTATCCTCTCAGTATCTTGGGCATGCACACATGTGTGACCATCATGTCAAACTTGATCCCTGGTCAGCCATGTGGAATCCTGCTTTATTTGTAGCACTTGACTACTGCACTACAGAAGTTGGTCCCTAAAGTTGTTTTCATTTATTTACTTATTTAAATTATTATATTTTGCTACAGGATGTGTGTGCTTGCAGGAGAGAAACAGAGAGGAAGGAAGAGTGGGAGAGCAACCCCCAAGGGGATGGCCTTGCTGCAGTCCTTTCTCCATTATCCTCTCAGGATTTGGGGCACATATACACACACACACACCCCTGGCATTTTTCAATCCATCAGGTCTGGGACTTGAACCATGTAGTTGGCCATGTCGGATCCAGCTGCCCTAATCACTGTGCCATTGACTAGCAATCCCCCCCAAAGTTGTTTTTAAATAATTGTTTATTTTGATTTGTGATCCAAACAAGGTCACGTATTATATTTGGTAGGTACGTATCTTCCATCTTTTTTTTTTTTTTTAAGAGAGACTTTTACTCTAGGGTGCATGCGTTCACCAGAGAGACAGAAAGTGAGAAATCACCCCCTGTGGGGATGGCCACACAGCAATCCCTTCTACTCCATTTTCCTCTTGGGATTTAAGGCATGCACCCACATGCACCTGTCGTGAGTTTTAAGCCACTGGGTCTGGGACTTGAACCATAAATTGACTACATGGGAGTCCAGCAATGTAAACCACTGTGCCTTCTGCTGATCTCTACCTTGAATCTTTTATTTTTATTTATTTATTTTTTAGATTTTTGCCATAGGGCATGTGTGCTTACTGGAGACAGAAGGAAAATGAGAAGTCACTCCCCCAAGGGGGTAGCCACACCACAGTTCCTTCTTCTCCATCTCTTCTCAAGATTTTAGGTACACATGCACATGTACCTGGCATGATTTTCAAACCACTGGGTCTGGGACTTGAACTGTGGTTGGCCAATGCCTTAACTACCATGCCACCTCCTGGCCCCTCTTTGTGCTGGATTAACAGCCTATTTCCATTACTTCACTAGAGGTTTATAGATGACAGTGTTGAACTATGCCTTAAATTCTACATTCATTCTTAATTTATTAACTAGAATATGTCTGTCATGAGAAGTACAGCTTGAATAGTAAGACAAGTTAAAGTGGTTTTGTTTTTGTTTTTCCA